TGATCCTCAGATTCCTATCTTTATAAGAAGGGATATCAGAAATCTCTTCCCCACTCTAACCCTTATCCCTGACCCGAGCACAGAGGAAACATCATGTAAGAACTCAGGAAAAAGAGTAAGGCAAGAAAAGAGTCATAAATCAGAATCAACTAGTTTCTTGATTTTGAACCCTCTAATGTCTAGAACTGTGAGAACTGATTTCTTTTTTGGGGGGGGCTCTTTTGGGGTCACACCTGGCAATGCACAGGGATTACTCCTGGCTCTGCACTCAGGAATTACCCTGGCAGTGTTCAGGGGACCATATGGGATGCTGGGAATCGAACCCGGGTTTGCCACGTGCAAGAAGGCAAACGCCCTACCCGCCTTGAGGAATGATTTCTTATGTTTGAATTGCCTCATTTTTGCTGATTTTATTGAGACATTGTTGACATATAATAAATGTACATGGGGCCAGACTGATCATACAGCAGGTCAGGCATTTGTCTTGCACACGTCCAACTGAGTTTGACCCCCGGTACCAATATGGTCCTCTGAACCCCGCCAGTAGTGATCCCTGAGCACAGAGCCACTGCTGGGTGTGGCCCAGAGGTTCCCCCAACAAAAAGCCCCAATAAAATAAATGTACATTTAAGATGCAATGTGATTTCTTACATGTATACATGACAAAATATTTGTGATATTTTTTATCGTAGTTAGTAGACTTGTACAGATAATGAATGACAAGTGCTACGTAGAAAAATTAAGCAGAGAAGTGGGAAATGAAAACTGGGGACGGGGTTTGTGAGAGCAGGTGGTCTAGAATTTTAATTGGAAATTTCTGGAAAACTTAACAAAGAAGGTGATACCAAGTAAAGGCCCAAATGGATGGGAGGAAGCAAACTATTCTGGTATGGGATGGGTATTTAGATAGAGGAATCTTGAGATAGGAAGGTGCCTGGTTAGAGATTGCAATGGCTATGTACAGCAGAGTCTAGGTAAAATGGAAGGAATAGTAGAATACATAACCTGAAAAGTAGCTAGGGAAAAATCTTGCCAGAGTAAGGATTTGGATTTTATTCAAAATGCAATAGAAAGCCATTGGCAGTTTTAAACTTACTATTATTTTTATTTTTTAAATTCATATTAGAAAGGGGCAGTGGTCCACACCCTGCTGGGCTCAAGGGTTCTTCCTGGTTCTCTGTTCAGGAGTGATTCCTGGTGGTGTTTGGGGGACCATCTGTGGTGCTATGAGTGAATTGGGGTTGGCTACAAGCTGCTAAGTACCTTGCCTGTACTATCATTTCAGGTCTAAACTTAGTTTTAGAAGTATTGTGCTGACTTCTGTATGGGAAATGAGCCTTATAAGAAAGGACTCTTAATAACTCACAAGAAGAGGTCGGGAGGTAGTACAGCAGTAGGCTGTATGCCTAGCACAGGGTCTCCAGACCATCACCAGATGCAGCTGGACGTTCCTGAGCACCATCAAGTATTACTCTGGATGCCCCCAACGTCATTAGGATCACCCAGATATCTCTGGACTGTAAGGCCCGAGCAGCTTCACATCTTTGGCTTTTGGCACTAAACCACCAGCAGGATTGGCCAAAAAAATCACTGGTAGGGGCCTCTTAAACCTCCTGAACACTACATGGGAAACTCCTCTCAATAATTTTTTTTAAAAAATTACATGAATATTAATGTGATTTGGACCATAGAGTGCAGGGAATCTAATTAATACTATTAATCTAATATTATTAATACTACTAATCTTAATACTATTAATCTGATCTTAGTAGTGTCAGACTGTTGGATAAATAGGACAGCTGTAAGGCATTTACCTTGCATGCATCCAAGTGTGTTCAATCTCTGCTCCTCCGCAGGAAGCTTAGATTTATTGAGCTATTCCCACAACAGTGCCCCTGAGGCACATCCAATTTCATCAAGCACTAATAATCCTATATTGCTTTTCTCTTTTCTTTATGTCACTTGCATGGTTTAGCAATGTCCTTTTTGTATAGACACAGGAAGACAGTTAATGCTGTACTTTTGTAACTTGGGAGTTAATTGACTCCAAATAACTTCTGGACATCTGTCATATTTACTCGACTTAAGTCGCAGTTGTCCTTCGTTCCTAGCACCCCAAAAGCAGGGTCCCAACAAAGGGACTGGATGAACCCCAGGCAAGCTGTGAGCTACCCTGGAATCAAAATAGGACAGGCCAAGTGCCATAATACTTAACTATAAGTTAAGAGCATGGTCATGGACAGATTCTGGCATGATCCAAAGAGAAACAACTGGACAAGTACCCCACTAAGGTTAGGAAAGACTAATCTGGCCTGAGCACTATAGTCTGGGATCTATAGTGAGATGTCCCCAGGAGAGCCACCCTACAAGCTTAATGTATCTCTTACTGTGTCCATACAAAATGACTAGAAAGATTAGGTAAAAGGTAAAGTTAAAGACCCTCCCGTTGATCTTCGATTTGCTCGAGCGGGCCCAGTAACATCTCCATTGGAGACTTTGTTGTTACTGTGTTTGGCATATCGAATACGTCACAGGGAGCTTGCCAGGCTCTGCCGTGCGGGCGAGATACTCTCGGTAGCTTGCCGGGCTCTCCGAGAGGGGCGGAGGAATGGAACTTGGGTTGGCCATGTTGGCTGCGTGCAAGGCAAACGCCCTACCGCTGTCCTAAAACTTAAGGTGACTGTTTAAATGGTTATGGGCTAAGGAAAGAAGAAATATGACCTTAGATGAAATTCTGACCTTCAGCACATCTCCAGGCAGGAGATCTTTGTCTTAGAAGAACTTCCCTGGGAGGAAGAGAAGGGCTTTACATATGTTGGTTGTGCTATCTGACCTGTGTGTAGTTGCTCCCCCAAACTTTGGAGGTTGAGGGCTTCAGACAAGTCTGCAAGACAGAGTACACTGAGAGATGAGCATGAAGGACAGGAGGAATACGGGAGTGGGTGAGACTGGAAGGAGGCAGAGGGAGGCAAGATTGGAATAAACTGTGACTAATCGCCAACCAGCCTGGCGGCCCTGTTCCCTCATTCATGCATCTGCTGACGCGGCTGGAGGCTGGGATGGGGGAAGAGGTTCATGGCCACCTAACTCACGTGGCAGGAGAGAAGCCCATACCCTTGCTCCCTTACTTTGTGATTACACAATTATGTAGATATATTTGACAAAATATTTTACCTTTGGCAATTGACTCAGTCTCAAACCCATCTCTTTTCTGAAGAATAGGGACTGGGGGTGCTGTGAATTACCCCAACAACCAGATACCATTTTTTTCTTATGCCTAGGAGCTGTCCAAAATTTTTCTCATTAACATAAAATTGTGGTATTCATTATTCATTTGTAAGCCTATGAAGCTGTTTTCATTGTCTATAAATCCCTGAATCTCTTAGAATCCAAACATCAATGGAGAATGTTTTATTCAACTATTGTTAATAATTGTATATTTTATTCTTGCTTTAAAATTTCTTATACTTTTGAAGTCCAAAGTTTGATGTTTTTTAAATCATATATTTGATATTCTCATTTCTAGGTAATGGATGAAAAATTTTTCTCTGCTGAATTTCTTTGGGGGAAAATTTTGTACATTGAATCAACTTTTGAATTATTTCTCAAACTTGAGGGATTATATTTAAGGGATAGTTTTACGTATCTTAAATGTTCAAAATATTCAGTACTGGAACTTATTATTTTCTCAGGGCCAGAGTGATACTACAGCAGGCAGGGTGCTTGCCTTGCATGTGGCAGATCCAGGTTTTAGTTCGGGTACCACGTGTAGTCCACAGAGCCTTATCAGAAGTGATTCCTGAATGCAGAGCCAGTGGATAAAACATTGAGTACCACCAGGTCTGACCCTGAAGACCAAAAACAAAAAGCTATTTTCTCATGATCTGGCAGTCAGAAATGAATTACCATGTGTATTTTCAGATTATTTGGCATACATTTTCACATATATACCAAAAAGCAAATACATTATTACCTTTGTCAGGGTCTTGTCCTTTGAACTGAAGTTTCACTATTGATGTCAGTGGGCTCCACAGGTGGCTCATGTGAAGTGGGGAGGAGAAAGTGGGAAGGAGACTTTCTCCCGATCCCGCCTCTGCCACCCAGAACCCAGGGATACTGGGTTCTTGTCTCACCTCATAGAAAGGAATTTCAGGAGTAGAGATGGGCAGTTTTTATTTGGAGGTTTTGAGGGGAAGGAGGGAGAGAAAGCAGGAAAGTGGAAAGTAACGTGCTCAAGAGAGAACCCTGGCTTTTCCAAGGGAAGAAAGAGCCATACACACATCCCAGCATTAGACATGAAAGCAGGAAAGCACACATCTCAAGAGGGGAGATGTGGATGATACATGTGCTCAGGCACCACGTGTACTCGGCCATATGGCACAGGCAGCACATGGGCTCAGGCAGTATATGTGCGCACTTCCTTTGTTTAAAGTGACTTTTATAGGGTTTCTCCAGCTTGCCCCGTGTGGAACTTTTACCTAGGTAAAAGTCCATTGTTAAGGAGGTTGTCAAGGGGGTAGAGTTGGGAGTGGTGATGGTCTTCTTTGAAATTCCTTTCCTGGCCTTTTGTTCCTGATGAAGCTTCTGTTGGAAGGGGGTCTAGCTTCCTCCTGGTCTGTTATAGACAGGCACCAGTTCTCCATGAGTTCAGGGCTATTACTTCCCAGGAAGTTTACTGCCATTGCCTTGGGAGGGGGCCTTCCCTATCTGCAGACCTGCCTACATCAATATGACATAGTCACATATTTGCTTTATTTATCTGGTTTTTGGGTCACTTCTAGCAGTACCCAGGGGCTGTTTCTGACTCTGTGCTGAGGAATTGCTTCCAGCGGTGCTTTGGGAACCATATGGTATTGGGCATCGAACCAGGTTAAAAGCAGACATTTTAACCTCTGTACTATCTCTCTGGCACCTAAAATCATATTGACTTAAAAAAAACAAACAAGATAAGTCTTTTTACTTGAACACGCAATTTTTGTTGTTGTGTTTTCTGCTTTCAGTTGTTAGAAAAGTTAAAAGAACGTTGGCTCTATACCGGTTTGTGGAATAATTTGGAGTTGGTGAAGACAGTCATTGTAGAACCACAGGGAGGAGAAAAAACCGATTTTGATGAATTACTACAGGTATATTATGATGCAATCAAGTTCAAAGGAGAGAAAGGTAATTGGAAATTATTTGATGGTCATATTCTTTTTCTATAATGTAAGAAATTGGTGCTAATAGAATTTTTGTGTTATCTTTGTAAATGTAATACACTTAAAGGAAAAATACCATTTTGTAATCTTGAGTGAAAAGAAAATGACTTAAATAAAATAATATTATATCCAGTTACTCTTTAAACAACAATTTAGCCTTATAAAATAGCATGCAGTTTCAGGGAGCTTCACATAGTCTTCTTTCTATTGGCTAAAATTTTGTGAAAGAACATAAATCAATCCACTTTATTAGCCAAATGAGCCCTACATTTTAATGCAAATAATATACTTTGTCCTTAGATTCTCTACTTTGAGTGCATTTGAATTTATAAAGTATGACTGATGGCTCAATTTCAAAGTTTGATAATCATATAATGTTTTCTAGGAAGAGCTGGCTAATAGTAATTTATGAATAAAACACCATCATAAAGATGCTATAACATAACTATCAGTATTTGCATGATAAAATTATAGACTGTTTCATATGTTTTTAAATCTTTGATAATTTAAATAGGGTATAAATAGAATTTATTTAAGTCACTGAAAATTTTACATCTAGTTTTAGGGAAATGGAATTAATTTAACTTTTTAATGATGAAACAGTTGGTTCACAGTTGTTTAGTTCATATTTAACACTTTGATACGGTTTTACCGCTATCTAGGATATAGACAATTTGTAAATTGGTTTACTGCTACCTTATACCTAAATGTAATTTTATTTCCCTTATACATAAAAGTATTGGGCTTATAAAACTTTATATCAAAATATTTTAGAATTTTGATTCTTTCAAATTTGCTACTATCATTACTTAATCAGATTTTCCAAATGACAAAAATAAACAATTCCTGAGAATTTTGGATGTGCTTTTAAAAATCCCTATTTTCTCTTTCTTAAGATGGAGCCCTCTTGGTAGCAGTTTGTCGTGGTAAAGTGAGTGAAGGTCTGGATTTCTCAGATGACAATGCCCGTGCTGTCATAACCATAGGAATTCCTTTTCCAAATGTGAAAGATCTACAGGTAAGTCATCAAAGCCTAGACATTTTGTTTATCATATAAATCAAGCTCATGTAAGTCTATGTTTTTCATAGCCCTCAGATATTTTTGTTTTAATTCTGTGGTGACTAAGAGTTTAGTTTTATATTAGTTTTTAACTTATTCAGATATTAGTTTAGTTTTTAACTTATTCAATCTTTTGCTCAACAAGAATAACTTTCAGAGTGTAGTCTGTGGTCAACAACTGAAATTTTGATGGAAATACACATATTCAGACCTACTGAATCAAAAGCTCTGGAGGTAGAATTTATATTTTTCAAGTTTTCAATCACAGACTCACAACGATCCTTCTGGGACTTCTAGAAACCTTTCTCTGTTTCTGTTCTCTCTATTCCCAAGATTTTCCCTGCATTTTCCTATTCCATATTTGAATATCTCCCTCCTCATCTCAGCAGGATCACTACATATATATAACCAGGAGTGCAATGTTCCATGCCTTTGTCAGGAAATTAAGACCAGGAAGGGAGCTGAGAGTCATAGAGTTCATCAACTGGAGCTCCTTGAGCTCCTTGATTTTGAGGTTATATGTTATGTTGTTATGTATCTAATTTCTGCAAATATTTTGTTGGTTTTATGGTTACAATGGGAGGAATAGTTCAGAAATAAGAGTTTTGTTTTATGAACACTGGTTTGCTAAGCTTTATACTTGACTGAGTTAGTTATTGCAATAGTGTGAGACCTAAGGTGATATTATCTTCGATTAGGGAGTATTTTCTTTTATTTTTGTTACATGTTTTAAGGTTCTAGCAATTGAAGACCATATTTGAGATTTTCTGGCTGCTGAATTTACTCCATTGAGTACATAATTTATATCCCTTCCTTCAGGATACAATCTGTTAGGATCTCATACTAGAGTAGGAATTCCTTTACTAGAGAGCTATCTTCTTATTAATACTAGACAGACATTAGAAACTACCTAAAATTTTCAGGAATGAATAGTATTTCACTGGTTGGCCCCTATTTTTTTTTTCCAAATTCTTGACCTCTTCAAAATTTCTAAAAATCCTCAAATACTTTTGTTGACTTCTACTGCTTCCAGTCACTGAGTGCTGATTACCAGATCCAGGAGTTACCATGCTCAGGAGTTCTAATCTAAAATAGCTCCTTCTTACTTTTGTTACTGATGAAATAGTTAACATGTACTTAAAAACGGGCTGGAATGACAGCACAGCGGTAGGACATTTGCCTTGTGCGCAGCCAGGCCTGCCGAGTCAGGTTCAATCCGTCTGCCCCTCTTGGAAAGCCCTGCAAGCTACCGAGAGTATCTCGCCCGCAGCAAAGCCTGGCAAGCTACCCGTGATGCATTCAATATGCCAAACACAGTAACAAGTCTCAAAATAGAGATGTTACTGGGCCCACTTGAGCAAATTGATGAACAACAGGAGGACAGTGACAGTGACAGTACTTAAAAATGCTGTTGGGTTCACTATTAGCAGCATTAGTGCTGATAGTAAACTGCAGCTGAGTGCTGTTGACTGCTCTGCTTTGGGCAGTGGTACTGCAGTGGCGCTTTATAGCTTACTTGTTTACCTTTTGGCTGTAATGCTGTGTTAAAATTTTTCTGTGTCCTGAATAGATACTTTTTTCTCCCTAAACCAGCTCTCTTTAAATTTTTGCTTGTTCTGCATCTCTTTCTTGGATTTAATTATATGAAACCTTGATATATGAGCTGATAAAGCTGATAAAGGAGATAGCTTTCTCTCTCATAATAGGTTAACTAATTAATATACTTACAAAATAACAACGCTTAATTCACATTAAACTCATAATAATAATTTCATCTAAGGAGATGAGAAATGAATGATATTGGGATACATATTTAAAAAAGACTTTAGCACATCCTATTATATTTCACTTGAAAACAGGTTTCAAGGAAATATGGATGATTATTATGTTATTCTCCTTTTTTTATTTTTTGGCCACACCTGCAATGCTCATGGGTTACTTCTGGCTTTGCACTCAGGAATTACTTCTGGCAGTGTTTGGGGGACCATAGAGGATGCTGGGGATCAAACATGGGTTGGTGGCATGCAAGACAAATCCATATTCACTGTAATACCTCTCTGGCCCTATTACAGTCTTCTTCGAAAAATTCTTTTTTTCTTTTTTTTATTGAATCATTGTGAGATACAGCTACAAAGCTTTCATGTTTGAGTTATTGTCATACAATGATCAAACACCCATCCCTTCACCAGTGCATTTTCCACCACCAAAGTTCCCAGTATCCACCCCACTTCAAAAAATTCTTAAAAACAAATTACTACATAAAGAAAAAATTACATTTGTCTTCTATATTTGTTATCTTAACTGTTCAACTATGATTCTGGGTCTTGTTGTTATGCCAATCTTGGATTCTTAATGTTTTCTTTTCCTCAGATAAATTCTTGTCAGGCAATATCTCATTCTTTTATACAAAAAAATCTGTGGGTTTTTTTTTTTTTGGTTTTGGTTTATATGTGATGCTGAGGACCATCTCCTGGCAGTGTTTGGGAGATCGTGTGCAGTTTTGGGGATTGAACCCTAGTCAGCCACATGCAAAACAAGTGGCTGACTCGTACTATCTCTCCACAATCAAAAAAGATACTTGTTGACCTGATCGGACAATCCTTAGAAATGATCCTGTTGCAATAGTTAATCCTAACCCTTAATTCAAGTGAATTCTTGAAGCAGGAGAGTGAAGTTTCTCTAGTGGTTCCTAAATGAGGTAAGTAGTGTAGACACAAGTATAGTCCAGACTATGTTAGGATAAGGGACAAATAAGGAGGGAAATTGTGGCAATGACAGATATAAGAGGAATGTGTTTCTTGTTGTTACATGTCTGGCTCAATTCTACCTGAACACATTTTAAAACTCAGATACTCAAAATAGAAATCATTAGGCTGAAGAGATGGTACTTGGGTAATATACTTGCATGCAGCCAACCCTGGTTCTAACACTGCATAGTTCCTGAACACTACCAGATGCAATTCTGGAGACCTCCGAAACACTGCATCCTCAGGTCTTTGCATTGAACCTCCAGAACAATTGACTGAAAAATGCTGGAAGGGCCTCCTGAACATTCTTGGGAACCCCCATTCCCCCCACTCACAGCTCCCTCAAAACAAAGCCCTCTACAATGATATATTATTGATCACACTGTCAGTTGGGCAGCTGGATGGGAAGAATGTAGGCTGAGCATCGCAGGGTAGCTCTGCTGAATTTAGCTAGGGTCGGTCACCCTGCTTTGTTTGGTTTGACCAATGTAGGTTATCTGTAGCTGGGTCAACTTTGGTATTTCATTCTTTGTAACCCATCAGACTAGCCAAAGCATGTTATCATTGCAATGACAGAGGTACAACAGGGCAGGCTTTGCAAGTACTTTTCAAGTACCTGTTTATATCATATCTGCTAATCTGTTGACCAAAACCTGTTATATATTCAAGATCAAGGTCAGAAGCAGTGAGAGAGAAATGTTTTTTGTTTTTTTGTTTTTTTTTTCATGTTAAATGTGGCAAAAGACTCAAAAGTTCTGAGTACTTTTTTCTTAACTAAATTATATTTTGTAAGGCATCCATTCAAAGACAGATTTTTATATTAAAAAAGAATATCACAGAATTAGTACAGGGATTAAAATACATGCTTTGCATGCAAACTTATCCTGGTTAAAACTTGGCTCTACATAGTCCCCTGAACATCTCTCAAATACTGCCAGGTATCACCCTGGAGACCCCACTCTCACATTGCAGTGCTGAAGCAGCACCATATCCTCAGGCCTTGGCATTAAATCACTGACCAAGAATTGACAGGAAGGATCCCTGGACTGCCAAGCCTCCAAATAAGAAAGATGGTAAGAAGGCCTTTTATTGTTTGAAAATTATTGAGATTCAGCAACAGTATGAAATATAGATGATTTCTTAAAATTCATAGATAAACAATTTTAATATTAGTGGAATTCTATAGGATATAAAAGGAGTTTTACATTTTAATGAAATCCACTGTTTATTTCTTAATACCTATGCTTATGTGTCATATTTAGGAAGCCATTGCCAATTCCTAGGTCACATAGATTTGCCCTTAGTTTTTCCTTCAAAAAGTTTTATTCTGTTGGGGGTCGAAGCGATTGTATAGCGGATAAATTGCTACCTTGCACGAGACCCCCAGCACCCCATATGATCCTTCAAAAGACACTAGGGGTCAGCATTGAGCACTGCTGGGTGTGGCCCAAAAACAAATCAAAAGAAAAAGTTTTATACTGTTATCTCTAATCGTAGATAATTGGACCATTTAGAATTTTGCATATAAGGGTCTAGCTTTCTTTTATCTAAAATTTCTTATAGACATCAGTTAGTTTGATCATGCATCTTTTATTAATTCATTCCTAGAATTTAATCTGTTTACATCTAACGTAACTCTGATAAGAAAGGAGGCCTACTTTTATCCTTTGCTATTGATTTTTTTACTTTTGTGCCTTTTGTTCTTCAAATTTTTTTTTGCCCTTTTTTGTATTTAGTTGATTTTTTTTGGTCAGGTACTACTTTGGTTTCCTTCTTACCTTTTGTGTGTCTTTGTTTATCTTCTAAGTATAACCTAGACATATCAGGTAATCTTAATCTGTTTTTTTGTTTTTATATTGTTGGGCCAGAAAGATAGTAGGGTAGGTTTTTTGCCTTGCAGCCTTTGACCTGGGTTTGATACCCAGCACTCTTATGGTTCTGAGTCCTGCCTGGAGTGATTCCTTAGAATCTCCAGAAATAAAAACAAACAAAACATCCAACACCCCCCATATGTATATTGCATCTGTATATACATGTATATATGTATATACATATATATTTCTATTAGTATAACTGAAGTTATTAATTTGTATCTTTGTCTTTTAGATTGCTTTACTGTTTTAATGTCTATAAGTATTTTTAAATAATATGTTAGATATTGTACATTGAAGAGTAAAACAATTTTTTAAACATCTTTCTGTCTCTACAATT